ATAGCTTAAAATGTTTTATGGTTTTTAGATGATGAAATCCTAAGAAAATTATGAAACTCCATATTCTGTTTCACGGGGGAATGGTGTATACACTTGGGTACCTGGGCCGAAGGGCTTACCCCTATCGAACAAAATTAAAAATTACTAATTATGTGTGTATTAACACAAAGAAAATTTCTAAATTTAAAAAAAACAATGGAGCTATATGAAGAAATTTAAGTAACAAGTTACATAATAAATTTTGTCACATATAACTTTAAGGTAGATCGTCAAAATATAATAAAAAGGTAATGAAGTTAAGCAAGATATTAGCATTAAATTATTAATAACAAGTTAATATGAGATAAAAATTTAAAGGTGCAGTGAAACAGAGTTGACTAATGGGTGAAGCATCTGGTGAAAGCCTTTCGAGTCGGTGACAAATATCCTGAAAAGGAGAATTGGAAGAATAAACAAAAAGTAGGTGAATGAAACTCGATACTGAAAAGACATTATGAATCCCCGGATAATGTGACTTCAAAGCTAGATTGAAATGTTGATGGCATGTTTTTTTAATTACCTACGTGTAGTGTTATAGCTTCGATGAGTAATTTCAGTAATATTCAGAAACTCTTAAACTCTTCTGGATTGAAAGCTATAATTACTTTAGAGTAACAGAATATAAATCAAAATAATTTTTTATTTAAGTAGTGTTTTGGGCAATCGATATTCTTCTGTTTATAGTTCTTATTTTTTCCGAATTTGCATATATAATATTTTTCTTGTGATATCATATGCAAGTACTGATTTTGTTCAAAGATTACATAAGCCTGGGATAGCAGTGTTTTTTAACTTTTGATAATCGATGTTTCTTTATTTTTTAGCACTGAGTCCGAAAATGACTTTTACTCTATCATTATTTCAGGATTTCTCACAAATCGCAAATTTCCGAAGTGTTAAAAAGTAGAAAAACTGCGAAAATACGCGATTTTAAAATAGAAATAAAACATTTTTTTTCCTAGTGATTTATTCGTTTTTGGCTTATAATTAAGAATTCTTGTAGCAGGACAGTGGAGGGGTCTGATGGGAAAGGAATTCATTGAACCCTTCCCTTTTCTAATGAAAATTGCTATAAACGAGGGCAATTTTATATTTTATTGCTTTTTTTTTATCTATTTCCATTAACTGTTTGTAAATTTTAAGAGGGACATTGGGCCCCTTAAAACCCTCCTTCCCTTTAAATATCATTTTGGACCTCTACAAAAATTTTGAGTTGAAGATTAAGATTCTGGAACCAAAAATGTGCTCCAAAAAGCTGTCATATGTCCGAATAAAATATTCTTCCACCTCTGCATATCAGTTTAAGCTAGATCAAGCAGCTTGTCAAACCCTTACCAAAGAATGTCAATGTTTTAAATGCAATTCTGACAAATTTCCAGCTTTATCAACTTCCAAACTGAAAGAGGGTATCTTTCCTGGTCCTGACATTAGGAAACTTCTCAAAGAAAATTTTGAGAAACTAACTTAAGTTTCAGGAAAAAAAGCCTGAGAAGCCTTGAAAGACATAGCAACCATGTATAGAGGCAATAAGAAAGATCAGTACTTTAAAATCAATCGTTGAGAGCATGTTGCAGAAGTACAAAAATTTAGGCTGTTCCATGAGCATAAAAATTCACTTCTTAATTCACATTTGGACTGTTTCCCTGAAAATCTGGTGCCATTAACGAAGATATGTGTGGGAAATTTCATCAAAACATCAAAGAGATGGAAAAGATGTATCAAGGAAAATGGACTACTTCGATGTTGGCTGACTATTGCTGGAATGTAAAAAGACATAAATATTCAACAACATAAAAGGAAAAACGCGAAGCAGAGCATTAGCGGTCCATGGGAACTTGGACACATGAAAAGTTGTGTATTATATGTACATGGTCTTAGTATAAGCTAAAAAAAATGAATATATTCTAAGAAAAATGTTTTAAATCAATTTTAAAGCCTCATATTTTCAAATTTTTTCGACATTTTAGAAATTCTGAAAGTTACGATTTCCGAAAAATTCTGATGGGTTGGGAAAAAATGAACGCCATTTTTGAGTTCAGCCCTAAAATATACATTGGAATTAATTAACATAAGTTAAAAACATGACACAGCCCAAATTTTGTGACTTACAATACATGTTGTTCTGACATTTCAACAGAGAGTTTAATTATTGTTCTTATTTGATCTTTTTAAATTACTTCAAAATTATTTCAGTTAAATCAGAAAATTACACATACATGTGTTATGCACTATATATGTATATATGTACACTGAAGCACCATTACATTATGACCACCTTTTGCCTTCAAAACAGCCAGTACCCGGAAAGGCATTGACTTGACAAGGTGCTTACTGATAGGTAGTCTGAGTTATCCGGTACTAGGCACTCATCAACTGGCCCTGCAATTCCTGCACATTGCTAGGTGGTAGCGTGGCAGCACGAATTCAGTTTCCAAAAAATGTTTCATTGGATTCATTTCAGTGAATTCAGAGGCCAAGACATGACTTCAAATTGTGAATTTTCTTCGCACCACTCCCTGATGATTCGGCCCTTATGACATAGTGAATTATTGATTAACGCAAGCACCTGCCGGAAACAATGTTGTCATGAAGGGGTGTATTTGGACTGCAATGATGTTTACATAGCACACAGATGTCAAGGATTGTTCTAGGAAAATTATGGGTCCTAATGTGCCCCATGAAAACATTGCCCACAGTATAACACCGATGCCACCACCTTGTATCCGGCCAACTGAGCACCAGGGTGCCGGGGTTCAGTGTATTCGCAATTGCTCGCAATGCGATTGACCAGAAAACGTGATACGTCAGACGAGACGATTTTCTTTCATTCTTCTATGGAACAATGCCCATGTTTTTTGGCTCGCTGCAGGTGCTGTTGGCGATGACATGTTGTCAGCACTAAGATGTGATCTGGGCATCGGCTGCCTCGGACCATACGCAGCAGCGTATGCTACTCTGTGTATTGAAACACACTGTCTGACATTGCCACCGTTGTAGCTACTGATGATTTCAGCCACTATGTTCGGTCATAGCGAACAATGCATAACAGTCTCCACTCTACTCTGAAATCAATATGCCTTGATCGACAAGACCTGGCCATCGACTTGTCATTTCACCATCCATAAACCGATCTTGATAAGCATTCACAAGGGTGGCACATGAGCAGCTCATTAAATGTGCCGTTTCTGTAATTGGTGTTCCCAGTTCCAGTAACTAAATAAAAGTGTAATTAATAAACAAGCAAGAAAGCTGAAAAATCTTTTAATTTTAGTGAAACGAGTCCAAAAACATGCAAAACAGAAGTAATCCAGCATATGCAAAAATAAAAGAAAAATTTGATCTAAAAATATAAAATCAAATATAAAAATAACAATTACATGAATAAGTTCTTAAAATCTGTAACACAAAAGCAAAAAAAGTTCTGATATGATTATATTTATAGACTCCTGTATAGTAACAAAGACTAAAATGTGTCTTTATAAAATAATTAAAAAAATAATATATATAAAATAATTAAAAAAAATAATAAAAAAAATTTATCATAGAAGTAAAAATGAATAATTTGAAAAAAGAGCATCGAAATGTTCGCTCCATTTATTTTGCACTGAATGTGTTTTTATGATCACCCTTAAACAATGATCACAGTAGTTAAGGATTACTGCAAGTTCAGTATGAAATAACCATTTAATAGACTAATTTTTTAACAAAAATGAAATAAAAAATTAAAAAAAAATTATGATGTTTACAAACATCAGAAGATGCAAACTTTGTCTGTGATTTCAAAAATTACGATAAGGAGTGAAAAGGGATCTTCGGCATTCTTTATGGAGAGTACGAATCAGAGAGGATACCCAATGATGACATTGATTCCATGCCCCTCACATGCGCAACATTGCTTCTGCTCAGGGGCTACAATATAGCTTATTAAAACTTGTTTTTAATCAAAGAAATGGAATTTTTGTTCCTTTTATCACAAAAAATATACATTTTTTACTTTCTGACTAAAAAACACTGATTAAATTTAATTATTCTTTGTTACATATATAATTTTCTTTCCTAATAGCTTACAGAACTTATATTACATCAGCAAACAAAACTTTTCCTCATCTGCTGTTTATATCCTGTCATAATATCCCCAAACTGTTTTCAGCAGTGATATATAATAAGTACTATATTAATAAAGAACTTATTTTGGTGCCATTATTATAAATAACAGCTAATCAAAAATAAGTAATATGGTATTTATTTGCATCCTAAAGCTAATTAATATATGGAATTCCCCATTATTCATATTTGGCTTGTAAAATTGAATTTTTACACAATTTCTGTAAAAAATCAACATATATTGAATTGGTTACAAAAGGGTGTAATTAGATTACATTATAATTTGGCTAGATTTTCAGTTATTCCCTCAGTGAAACGTTAGTTACTACATTTCTGACAGCTATTTTGACATTTTTTAAGACATGCACTAAATACTGACAGAAACTGTGCTATCATTAAATTCAAACCCAGTTTATACAGCAGTCTATAATATAACAACTTGTAATTACATCCGAGTGGCCAAAGTTACTATTTCCTCTTAGTTGCTCTTGAGACAATTGCATCAAGAATTCTCTGGATTATAAACTCCTTTCCTTCTTCACTCATAATTTTGGGTTCTCTTTACTTAAATTTTCAGAAACCTGAAATCCAAAATTACTTTCAATGATGCCTGATGATGGCACCTCTTAACATATAAAACTTTCCTTTGTTTATCTCCACCAATGAGATAACTTCATTCCAAGTTTCAGCAGTGTGATTCACTGCATAAAAAATCGTGGTTTTATTCAAAATGTTACAATCTTTTCATTAAATTTAAGCACCACCTTGAACTTTTTTGGGAGATGATGCATCGATAATTCAGATTTCTGTGTAGCTTCTATGACAGCTTTAAAATGAAAAATAATTCAAAAACAGCCTTTAAAAATGAAAATTATTTAATTTTATTAATACAACATCTGAGTTTACAAACCAGAGCATGTATTTTCAGAATACTTATAATACATTATATACAAAGTACATAATCTTTAAATAAATAGTTAATCTTTTCATTAATGCTACCTTGGGATAAACGTCTTTAAATGGAAGGGGTAATTTTTTAAAAAAATTTTGATATCTACATAAATTTAAGGAAGAGATCTACACAAAGGATGTGTGGTCTCCATAAAAACAATTAATATGAAGTATATGATAATTTGGGCTTGATAATTAATTTTAAAACATATGAACATTTTGTATCACATAAACAGAATTTAATTCTAAACTGGCTTTGTAAATATTTATATAAAAAGAAGTAAACAAAAATACACATCAGGACATTTTAATGGAACAAGTTTTAGATGCATCTTTTTTTGTACTTATATCATTCCACTGGATATTACTTATCATATTCCATTGTATACCATCACCATATGGCTCCTGAACAAATGGTAAAAAAAGGTACCACCATGGCCTAAAAAATATTATTCAGCAATTAGAAATAGCAGAATTAGTAACCATTTATTAATTGAGTATAAATTACACATGCTAAAATTATTTGCAAATAAAAACTATGATTCACCCTGCTTTTTGAAAGTAGAACATTTCCATAAAACCTTTCATAAGTTGAAATGACATAAAGAGAAGCAACAATTTGGGAATTTATACTGGAGGGTTTTTTTTTTTAGAGTTCTAAGCACTCTTAGAAAACCTAAAGTAATATCAAAAGAATGCATGATATGATAAAAACACAATCTACATAAATAAGGATAACATACAGTTGAACTTTCTGTTCACAAACACTCATGGTACCAAAGCTTTTGTTAATTATCAGGGAGTGCACTGACATGTTTCAAGCATCTGGGGATTTAGGAAGTGTCTGCTAAAGTAGAGTACTTGTTAATTGAGGTTTTAGTGCTTTCAAACCAGTTTCATTTTCCAGAACTGGAAAAACAGCCAGCATACTACATGGTTCAGTGATAGAGGCAAAGGTTACATTCAGCTGAATGATTGGAAATTCTGTAGAGGGGATATACTGGGACTGGATTTTAGGAAAGAGACAGTAAGGATAATCTTTAATATCTTAATTGTCAAAGATTTGAAATATGATAGTAACTGCTCAAAGTGACAAATGTAATTTACTTTTATAGGCAATTCAAACATCTTGCTACAATCAACTGCCAAACTCCCTTCAACTTGCATGCTCTATCGCTAGTACAGCCACTTTTTTTTTAAAATTATTGCGTAAAACAAACCCGAGAATTCCCCCATTTTTAATAACAGTAAAACCTCATCTTATTTTTTCATTAACTGAGGGAGTGAGAATAATGATAACGTCAAGTCTTTTATATGAGCAGTGGAGTACTACCATTATAGAAATAATCACTATGCACACCAGTTATGAAAACGCTTGGAGCAACATATGCAAATATTAATTTCATCTCACAATATAAAATAACAGAACATGCAAATGAAAACACTTTAAAAATTAATCTCAACTCCAAAGTGTCAAAAGCAGGCATTTACATATTTACAGCAGAGGTTGCAGTAACCAGAAAAAGAAGCAAAGCACTAAAATACATACAGTGCTCTTTATTATTAAAAATAAATCACCTAAATTACTCGCTTATTGATTTTTATAACAAAAAATAATATGAACATGAGACAATTTATGTAAATTAATCCCTTAACAGTCACACCCTTCTCACATGCTGGCATTAAATCCACATTGATTTTAAAGTGCCTGCGTCTTGCACGTTTTGCTCTTCATGAAATGAATCACTTAAACCTATTCTGCTATTCATTGCTATCATGTCTAAATGCATGAAAGGCCAGTAGATGGAAGCACAAGTTCAGTAAATCGAATTTTTTATTAATAATTGTTTGTCCTAGAGCAGAAGTTCTCAACCAAGGGAGGGGATGTAGTCATCCTTTTATTTACCTGTTAAGTATTTAGTTTTAGTTTTAGAGGCTTGTTTCTAATTCGATGCAATACACCCCAGTGGAAATTAAAAAAAAATTTTTTTTCGAAATATTTTAGCACATCCTTTGAATTATACATAAATTTTTGAATCAATCTGCATTTTAATTACAGCTACACAGTGCTCACCTTGTACATTACGGTCACCTTGTATATGTGAGAATTTATTTATTCAGTAATCACATAAACCTTAAACATGTGTGGGAAATAGTCGTTATTATAATAAGTAGCTGAACTAATCTACTCATTCTTAATTTTGTCAGCTTGCAGTAGAAGCAAGAAAAACTTAGCAGAACATGCCTTTGGTCGGCAATTTCGATACATTACCAACAGTGTATAGCAGATGCTAGCAAAGCTTTATGATGATAGCCGTAAATTTGAAGGTTTTCAGATATCGCAAACAAAAAGCGAAATTTTCCAATAAATGGAATTTGTAAAGAAATGAGAAGTGGTAATAAATGAAGATGATATAACAAAAATTTTTCATTGTGATGACAATACCCCAACCACCAATCAACTAATAGACAGTGGAATCTGTAGTAAAGTAGATTCAGAATATATCGCTATCGTTGATATCAGATATATCGTTACTAAGAAAATGAAACTTGGTAACTGAAGAAATTACATTTGTTTAGAGGACTAAAGAGAAAGTATAAGCACTAAAAACTAAGCAACTTAAACAACCTATATTGAAAGAAATGTTTAATAAAACAAATAAATAAATATTCAGCCCTTTTTTTCTCTAAATTTTGATTTCTAAGGTCATAAATGCTTCATTATTTCATAAACTACTATTTCATATTTTTAATTTTATAGTTTCTACATGTCATCTTACTAGATTTAAATTGATGATCTAATACCCGGACAAATTATTCAAAACGTCCTAGACATGAAGAAAGATCTTGAGATTCCAGGTAATATACAACCTCTCTTGACAACCAGAAGCCTTTTGGAGGTGATTAATGTCGAAGTAAGGCTAGACCTAATGGAAACCAACCATAGAAAGTGAGATGTTGCACCAAGCGTTTTGAAATGTCTTGCTTTGGAAACCATTGCTTTATATCTAGATATAATATATCCACTTACTCAGTAGCTGCACATTTTTCTGATGGTTCTCAGTTTGATTGTCACTTTAAGGTTGGAGTCGGTGTGTTTTCGAATACTTTTTCTTTCTATGACCCTGCAGAATACATTAGTACCTCCTTTGATGGTGAAGTAGTAGCCACTTGTACAGCCCTAAAGCAATTATTAGTTATTCGTTACCAAGTTTGTAAAGGCAGTCATTTTTTCTGATTCTCAAGCAGCTATTCAATCAATTAGCTCTGTTGAACACCCATTAACACCTGAAATTTTGCAATGTCAAGAATTCTTGAGAACTCTCACTCTAAAGAGGAAACAAAGTGTTCTCCAGTGGGTGCCTGACCATTGTGGCCTTTGGGGCAATGAACAAGCAGACTTGCTTGCAAAAAGAAATACCAGCTTACTACAACATCCTATTATGGCCATTCCTTATTGGAGGATTAAACTGTTTTTAAAAAGTTTATTTGCGTCTAACATCTTACGAGATCTTCCGACTCATACAGCCTTAAAAAGCTGGAGAATAAGTCTGTTTCTTATTCCTGGTACTCCAAGACGCAATGTAATTATGGCTTTCCATCTGCCTACAGGACATGATTGCCTTGCTGCCCATCACTATGCATTTCAAGCAATCCTATTTGGAAACACTTTGTGATTCTTGAGAAGAAATGGACAGAGACCACCTGCTTCGATGTGGGGCTCTTTGTGGTCTTACAGAAGAGTCGAGATACTGGGAGGCAAGAATGCTCCTTAGGCAATGACTTCGGTCTTTTTAGTCCAAAGGGGCTCTGTCCCTGAAGAACTATTGTTTTTGTTTTGCATTGAAAACTTTAAAAGGCTGTATCACTTTTCAAATCATTGCTACCAAATATTATCATCCTGCATTATATATTTGAAGAAATTAAATAATGAAGAATCTGCATGAATGTATGTATGTTTCTCGCATAGTGATAAAACAACGGTACCTACAGCCATCCAATTTTCAATGACATAATCCTACTGTGAAGATGGGCCTGAAAGCCCAAATTTGAAATTTGGAATTTGTTTTATCATTGATTTCATATTTTGTAAAACTTTAACAAACTTTGATTAACAAACTCAATGATTTAAAAGCGAGCAATGGCAACACTCTATGGGGGGGGGAGAAACCTTTTTATCTCCAGCATGTGGAACTGTGTATCAGAAATTCTAAACATATGCTCATTTTAAAATTATTTTGCGACATTGCTGTTCAACTGATTTTATGGTTTAAGTGCAAAGAACATGATATTTAATAAATAAAGGTAACACACAAAACATTAAAAAAATGCCCCTTTGGACGTAATTTAAAATCTTAAACCTTTCAGATTTTTTTGCTGTTGTTGTTCTTAGTTCTATAGTTTGTAACCTCTGTTTGTAAAATTTTAGTTCTTTGTAACTTTTGCCTAACCATTGGAAAAAAAAAAAAAAAAAAATTCGGAAAAATCCCAAATTCGAAATTACCAAAGTCATGGCGGTTCTGGATCTCGGAATCTGTACATTATACCTCTTCAATGTATTCTGCAAAATCCCCTGATGTTTCACTTATGAACTATTGTGCCTTCAATCTCTTAAAAAAAGCTCTTTTCTTAGTGCAAATTTACCATAATTGATGGAGTCTAGAAAATAGTGTTAGAGGAATAGAAATCAATACCCCTGGAAATTTTACAAAAAGCCCTTCTACCATGGGAATCGTGGTGCAGGCGTTTAGTCTAGAAAAAAGGCTATCAGACTGAGCATTTAATAAAATACTCTTTGCACTTTAAATATTAATTAAAAAGACCCCAAATCATTCTAAAAATGTGTCAACTATATTTTGAAATATGAAGACTTCAGTTATAAATATTACATTAATTTCTATAGAATCAATATTAATACCTGTGATATCCAATGCATAAAAATATCTTCCAGTTTTTGGTTGGTCCAAAATCATATGGATTCTTGTATATCTAAAAAATAGTATTGCAGAAAATATTCCATCAATGCAATTACTTATTTATTAACCATACCAAAAATATAAAACGAGACCAAATACAAATACACAAGAAAATTAAATACAGCATTGACTATGATGGAAATTTAATGATTAGTGCTTCATAAATATGATAATCAGAACTTACCTGACCTTCTTTTAAGAATCTCTCTCTTTCCTTTTTATTAATGTGACCCTCAATACTTGTTTCACCATTGGTTATCAGACGCGAATGCCATGCCAACAGACCTCCAAGTATGAAGAAAACAGCAACACATATAAGAGCAGCATACACAATGCAGGAGTGATATAATGTGTCAGGCCATTTATTTGTCAAATTTGTGGAGTTTGATGGAACATTCTGGTAATGAACATCATCTTTCTGGAAAAAGTATATTCAGTATAGTGATACTGATATTATCCCATCAAACCATACATCATAATGGCCAATTTTACATCACAGACAGAAATTTAAATATGATGCAGTTTATTTATTGATGTATTAACTGCCTTTTCAGAGCTTAAGATAGCAAAACTATAAAAACACCAAAATGCAATCAAAAAAAGCAAAATTCAATATTACATCAGTACTACATAAATTTTTGTAGGGAAATGCTTCTTTTCCCACAGTACTTGTGGTTTTCTCCTTTATGCAAAAAACACACTTGATAGTGATTGAATCATAAGAGGTTTCCAACTACTGAACTTATCAATTTGAAAAGAACTATGTGCTTACCTTAAGTATGTCTGAATTACATACGAGTGTTGCACTACCTAATCTCCTCAGACACAACTATATTTTCTCCAGAAATTTACACAGAGGAAATAGAACATTTTAATTTCAAATGAACCTAAACTTTATGGATTGTGTGGAATAATATTTATGATAAGTAATGATGTACTGCAGATATGTCACCCTGCTGTCTTACATGTTACAAAAGGATGTCCCAAAAGGTCATGTCCAAATGGCACATATGGTTGTGTCAGATCATGAGTAAATCAGAATTACATAGGAACAGGGGTCGAAAATGCAATTGTGACAGTGAAATTGCATCAGGGCCGTCATGCAAAGAAAAGATAACAAATGGTGTAAAAAACTTTATTTTACAACAAAATAAGGACCAAATACAAATGGAAAATGTTATAACTCATATTAAGTGCTCAAAATTGGCCCCCATCAGCTGCGATGCATGCTTCACATCGGTGGGGAACTCATTCAAATTGGCCAAGAGACTCCCGGGCACCTGCCGCTGCTTCTTCGATACATGCCATCGGCAAGGTCCCAGGTATCACCCGAGACCACGATGAGGTCCATGTCCAATGAAACTGATGTCTCGTACACCAGACACATAAGATATCCTGAGACATAGAAATCCAGGGGTTTTAAATCAGGGGATCGTGGTGGTCAAAGTACAGGACCGGCTATGTCAATCCAGTGATCTGGGTACATTAAGTCCAGGAACTGGCATGCATTCCTGTGGAAATGTGAGGAAGACCCATTATGCTGGAGGCACATGTTGAGGCATGCCATTACATGAACATCCATTAACAACGTAGACAACGATTCTTCCAAAAAATGGCATATGAAACTGTTGAGGCATTACATATGAACCAATCTGCATGTCACCAATATTTCCAGCACAGATGTTAATGCTGAAATGTTGTTGGTCGTGCAACATACAATATGACATGATATGAATGTGAATATGATTATGACATAATATGAATATGATTTACAGCTGACCCACACATGCATATTGTGGTTTTTGAGCACACACCATCCAGGGAAAAGGTAGCTTCATCGGTGAACAGTATCCATGATGGAAATTGTGGGTTTGTGAACCTTGTCTGTTCCTCATATAATTTTGCCATAGATATATATGCTTTTATTCATTTTTTTAGCAATTACACTTTTCACTTACCTTAAACCACAACATGCAATTTTTACAGCAAATCCAATATTAGAAATTCTTTTTCACATCCTCAAAAACTCAAGCTTTAATTTTAATAACTATCTGTAATAATAAACTGAGCAAAATAATAAGCTTGATTAATTAAGACACAATAACACAGCGAACAAATACTGATTCAGAATGTCAAACAACAAAAATCAGCGTTATATTTTAAAATTTTCGCAGGACTAGTTTCGATGGTTTTACCGAACCACCATTCTCAGCTGCAGAAGTGCAAATGAATCTTGAATGAATGTGCGCAAATGATTAATCTGATCATTATGTCCTATCTCGTTCATTTGCGCTTCCGCAGCTGAGGATGATGGTTCGGTAAAACCATCGAAACTAGTCCTGCGAAAATTTGAAAATATAATGCTGATTTTTGTTGTTTGACTTCTGACTCAAGCTTGATTAAATCAGAAAGTCAAGGAAGAATGCAGTTTTTCAATGCTAGTTGAATTTAAGTTTATCAGAATGAGATTCTTTTTCTTCCTTGCTATATCAACTGCTCTAAAAAAGTGTGTGCAACATTCCATAACGCTTACAGTCATCACTGCATAGCACTTATTTTGTCCACCTCTTATGACTATAGTTAAAGTTGGTCTTCATTTATGTGTTTTTCATGAAGTGAAATGAAGAAAAAAGAAAAGGAAAGAAAAAAAGGTAGCTGACTCAAATTCTCTCCTGCAGCTGTCGTTCCCACAGTTACAAAGTAAGTCGAGTGGTGGAAAATAGCCTCAAATTTCCTATTTTAAAGTAGCAATCTTATAGCCAGCAAACGTTTAAAGCACTATGATTGAAGACTTTTGCAGATAATGGGGCTTTTCAGCAAAACAAATTTCAGTTACTTAGAAGACAAAATTTATATAGAACACTCTTGCATTTTGTTGAGCATTATGTAGTCCTTTCCTACACAGTGTGAGAAGAAAGAAATCTTTCCTTCTCCCAAAAATATATTTTGTGGGAGGCCCATATTTCACTGTATTTCATGCGGAATATTTACTTTGATAGCAGCTTTATAGCTGCCTAAAACTGAAGAAAAATAACAATTAAAAGGTCTTCTGAAGATTTTTGCCTGACTTGTTGCATTTGTCCCAAAACTGTATCGCTTGAAATAAGGATTTTTAAACTTATAATATACTAATATACAAAATCCTTTCATTAAAACAGCATTCAAGGATATCTAGGGCAGGACACAGTTTTGAGTCATTGTCTTATTGACAAAAAATTCAACAACCAATAAAATGAAATCCACTTGATACATTTAAATTGCTGATATATTTTAGAATTCTTTTTCCCGTGTCTAATTTTACAGTGAAAGCACTCTTAGACATGATGTCCCTTAAAAATATTAAATAATAAAATATCCAATCTTAAATGAAAATACGAAAACAAATAAATCCTTTTTTTAAGAAATTAAACTGTAAAATCATCTGGAATTCAGAAATTGATAAAATTACAGCCAAATAAAATTAAATAAACAAAAGATAAATAGTACTTTTATGTATTTTATATATCAACAAGTCTCATTAAATAAACGCACAATGAAATTTAAAAAAAATTTTTTTTTTCCGAAGAATGTTTGGATGGTGCTCCTCTACCATGACTAATGACAGATTACTAATACAGTAACCAGACTTCTTTAAAAATAAAAGAGATGTTAAAGGAGCTTCAACTAGCGCAAGACAAAAACTAAAGCAATTTAGACAATAAACACAGTTAAATTTTCAGTATTCATTCTTTGCTAGACTTCCCTTAAAACATTCAGGGCTCGAACACCGGCTTCTGTCCAGATCGAGTGGCTACTCCAACAAATTTTTTTTCCCCACATTTTCTGCAAGAGTGAGATTAATCATTAAAATCATAAAAAAAAGGGGAGCTTTTCAATTTACAAGCATTTTACAATCAATTTTTGTAGCAATAAATGATTCTCTGCAGCTGTATTTTTCCTTACGATTTCTATTGAGATGATAAAGGTGTTATTTTTTATAATGGCTTTTAAATTCTCTATAAACTCACAGAAATGCAGAAAAGCAGAGTCAATTTCCGTTTAATCAAAATGCAGAAGAGAACAATGAACTTCTGATAAATTGGGGGAATATCAAAAATAATGTTCGTGGTTTACTTAAAATCACAGTTAATTGAAGAAAAGCTATAAATACACAGGACAGAAGGATAATTCATATTATAACTAACAGAAAAGTACTATTAATGGTTTAATCTAGAGAATGCAGTGATTTTTGTTAGGTAAATTAAATCGGTATTCATAACAAAGAATACAAAAAAAAAAAAAAAAAAATAATGGAAAAATACAAATCATTAAAAGTGAAAAGACTAAATTATAAATGGCATTAAAGAACAATATTTGCAAGGGAATTTGAACAATGCCATCGAGTTTGAACTCATGTAAACAAGTTGGTTAGAACATTTTATTTCTTCATGCAGACATCATCTGCCTGTCACTGCTGTTATCCACAGTATTACTACTGTAAGCATTTTTCTTTTCCTATTTGACTTTTTTGTAAACAGTTTTGTTTACACTGATTGATTATGATAGTAACTTTTCCATAGTTCTGCAATATAGAAATTTTTTTAGGCTTGGTCGATTCACAGCCTGGTTAACCCATTCTAGATTAATTGGGAACTGACTGTATTAAAGTGGAATTGAAAGTAAATACTAAAAATTTCTCAGCTTTCCACACACATTCTCAATGTAACTGCCATCTGTGAGACTGCTGTTTTTAAAATTCTCTAAGAAAAGGATAAAATTTTTTACAGCTGGCCAAAAACATAACTTAAATTTGTTTCTTCATTATTGATATACTATTACAACATGCAAAAAATTAATAAACAGAACAATTTCACAGCTGGCACTTGACTGATTAAGGTCATCAAAATAAAAAAATTGCTTCTTAGATCGTAGATACATTTTTTGTCTAAGCTAAATTAGGGCCTGAAACAAATGCTATAAATAATCAAACCTTTCCTTCTTGTTTTTAATTGTAAAACAATATTTTATATTACTATATAAAAACACATTTATATTCAGAAATATAGTTACATTCAAAATCTTTCGCATGTACAGATTATAACAGGAGAAACAAAGTTGTGGTTGTATAATTCCCAACATCCTGCATAGAAAATTATACAGAAAGCAAGCCTTAAGTTTAATACTGCATATATTTTTAAAATGTTATGATAATTTAACACTTTAGTACAGAGGGTTTAGAGCAGAATTGAACCAAGACAATCATATCTTATTTTGAAACACAGGTGGCTCTTCAAAGTGTTTTTTTTTTTCCCTCCCATAATGAATTCAAAGATGCAATTAAAAATCTGACTAAATTTTTTTATGAAGCAGGTGATATAATCCCTTGCCATGTTAAAAAATTTGTGCAAATTCTTTTTGCATCCCATTTTATGGAAAAAAAAAAAAAAAAAAAAACCACGCAGACAGAGAAACTTTGTTCCCTACTGTTTGGAAAACGATCAGAACACACGAGAACCAAATCCAAAATTCTCTGAGAATTTAATCTTACAGAAATAGAAAAAAAAAAAAAAAAGTTATGAGCAAAGTTTATTGAACAAATGAGAAAATTGGAACATTCTTTAAAAAATTAAAAAGTGAAAATTTTAAATTCTTATATAAAATATCATTTTTGAGAAATAAACTATTGGAATTTGAAGGAATGATTAGAAATATTATGTAAAACTTTAAAGAAAACTTGCAGTATCTTCATTCATCAATGTAAAATAGTTCATCTGTTTCCTCCTCATGAACCACACAACTTGTTTTTGATGATGACCTAGTTGGTGACTGAACAGATTGTTGTTGTCTCGTTCGTATCACATGGAACAATGGTTGTCAGAGCTTACTCTGAAGAGATGTTAGATTTCTATTTTCCACACCCAATTTTAAGGGAGAGCACCTAGGGGTCGCTCACCCCATCTCCTACCAATTCACATGAGAGGACTTTTCGCTCGCTGCATATTTAGAGTGCTGCACCGACACTATACATTTACAAGCATCCATGTCATCTCTGGGATTCGAACCTGGGCCCTTCGGTACCATAGTAGGCTCCCCTAACCACTATACTGTCTTGGCGAAGATTGAACAGGTAAATGTTTATAATATTGGTGAAAGATGGGTGGAATAAAAGACAAATCAATCATGTTTTTTTTTTTTTTTTACTCACTATAACAACTCATTGACTAGAATAGAGAGGTTCCCACACCATATTATTTAAACTGATCACACATTTTCCTAGTGATTTTTTCTTTAATGAAGCGCTTTCAAAGGAGGCCAAATCGTGCAAAGAAGTTTTGAACTTAAAAGAGAGTAATGACCTCTCTCGCACCTCATTCATTGAAAAATTAAACTAGCTAACATCCTTTCCAGATACACTTTTTTTTAGTCCAAAGAGGCAATTTGCCCAGAAGGACTATTAATTTCATTTTGGCATTTTGCATCGATTCACTACAAGCATTATTTCACTTTTAAAATTGTTGCCACCAAATATTATCGCCCTGTATTATATTTAAAGAAATTATATAATGAAGAATTTCCATAAATATATGTATGTTTCTCACATTGTGATAAAACAACAGTACCTAAAGCCATCAAATTTTGAATAACGTAATCCTCCTGCGAATTTGGGCATCTGGAAGCCCAAATTTGAAATCTGTTTTATTATCGAGTTCATATTTTGTAAAATTTTAACGAATTTTTGATTAATTAACTTAAGGAATTCAAAACGAGCAACTGCAACGTTGCACAGAAAAACATTTTAATCTCCAGCATGCGAGACTGTGTATCAGAAATTCTAAATATATGCTCATTTTAAAATTATTTTGTGATATTGCTCTTGAACTGAATTTTATGGTTTAAGTGTGAAGAACATGATATTTACTAAATAAAGGTACCACATAAAATGTTTAAAAAAGCCCCTTTGGACATAATTTAAAATCTGAAACCTTTCATATTTTATGTATATATTTCAATTGATACACACTTTTCAAGGGATTTAGTACTAAAAAGTTTTTCTTTTTTCATAACTAATTTCAGATGCTAAGGATTTGCGTTGATATTCTCTCACTATTTTGATCCATTCTTCAGGCAAGCATATAAACTACTGTTTTTGGCTGTGTTTTTCAGTTATGTTAAAGCCCTCCATCATTTGGCAGGTAAGAGTGACCTGATACTAAAAATTAATGGTCAGTGGTTTTCATAGCCATGTCATTATTCTGCACCAATTTTATAATAATCATTGCCATTTTGATATTGTGATTTTGACCACTGCATGGATCAGAATACAAAATGATGTGTTTATGGGTTGCTGCACGCACTTGTGTTTCATCAAGCATGAAGCTAAATTTTGGGACCTTTTCTCTCCCTCAGTATCATTCCATTTAAACATAAACAATCTATTAAAATTAAATGAATGTATCCCAAATTGTATGCATACAAATTTCTCTTGTAATCTGCAGCTGATGTGGTCAGCTTCAGGAATGGCAACACCTTTTGTAAGTCGAAAGTTGCTGTGTAAGTGTTGGTAGGAGCGAGCAACTGATGCTGTCTAAGGAATGCTCTAGCTTGGTCTGCTATTGTCTAGTGAATTTGTTTTTCAGTCTGTTAATATTTTTATTTTGTTCACAATTAATTTTCAGTTCATCACAAATTTGACGGGTATCTTTAGCTAGTGGTTTAAAATGCAAATTGAACTTCGGACTGAACACATTATAATAAAACTATTCTTAGACAGGAATTTTGCTTTCAGCATTGTATTTCTCAACATATATTTCATACATATTTTGAGTGTCAGGTTAGGGTGTAGATACTTCTTGCTGGAGTTATATTTCCGGATACAATGATTTTCACCAACTGGGATCAACTTAATATGATCAATGATATCTTGATCATTGATTTTATTAGAACTCCTTTTCCTTGACTGTCAGTAATAGCAAATACTTCTTCTTTCATTAAGCATCTGTAAAATTTATCCCAACTCATTTTTAATGTTTGTAAGAAGAATGTCTTGCAGATTTGGATAAATTGATTATCAGAGTGTAGAATGTACTTGCACGAGAACTGCTTAGATCTACTACCATCTCTAGGGAGAACCCTTGGAACTACATGTACTAAAAAAGAAGGCCTTGAAGATACATATTTTGATGTGAAAAATTCCCCATTTTCCAAAATGACTTGAACATTTTTGGTGGTCACGATCACATATTGCAGCAAAGTCTACAATTACAAAAAATACCTGGAGAAAATTTTTTTGAAAGAACCATTTTGTCTTGCCAGTTTTTGTACTCCAGTTCTTTGTTTTGCTGATTTTTTCTAATGTTTCTTTTTCACTGAAAAGGCTCCTGGTTCCTTTCCCTTTCTTGTTGATGGCTATCAGGTGGAGTACTTGTGGCAGGAAAGGACTATGCATATCCTTTGATCACATGATATCTCATTTCTATAATATTTAAACAGATCAAGAAACCAAAATGTTAGAAAGATTGTTACTTAACATTTTGATGAAGAAAATGTTTACATGAGATGTGCAAGTAAAGTGTGTCCACTTACATATCATTGGCAAATCTATCCAAGACACAAGCTCGAGTTAGAATCTTGGGTAATTTCATCAACTGCTTCTTGTCTTGGGTAGGAAGTGTGCACTTCCCCTGTCGCAGTGTTTTTTCGAAGACTCTCCCCTAAAAGTAAATACAAAAATATTAGTTATATCTATTATTAAAACATTAATCTGTAACAGTTAAATGGCATTCATTGTGCGAAAATGCATGTAAACAAACTTCTTACCTACATTGCTATTAGATTTAGCAGATGAATCTCCACACGTGTTGTTTGGAGGAATGAAATCCACATCATTGATTTGACAGTTTCAACGGCATCACTTCATCTATCTACTCAAATATTACTGAAATTATTCGGCAAAGGGCAACATATCCACCTCAATAATATTATGCTATTACAGCACTTCACATAGATATTGCTGCAAATGCATTCCCAAAAGTAAGTCAGAAAATGAGAAAAGAAAGTGGGGGGCCATGAGCCTTGAATAATACAAGGTAAATGGGAAGAGGAAAACAAAAGTGCTAAAATGTGTACAGAAGATATGCCAGAATGTTGAGAAGAAAACCATGCCATTACTGGATGAAAAAATGCAGAGCAGTTCAGTAATGAAATAAAGTACAATGAACTACAAGAAAAATAGGCACAAAGAAATTTCTCACATACATAAATGCAAGATAAAACTCAGAAATATATACAATACAGTCAAAAGTCGTTGATCTGGACTTGTCGGGACTTCGGCAATTCCGGATTATTGATTTTTCCGGATTATATATCATCAGTTTAAATCTGGTAAGATGGCATGCAGAAATTACAAAATTAAAAATATGAAACCGTAATTTATGAAATAAAGAACAATTATGATCTAAAGCAAATCAAAATTTACAAAAAAAAAAAAAAAGCTTAATATTTATTTGTTTACTTTATTAAACATTTGTTTCAATGTAAGTTGTTTAAATTGCTTCGTTTTATGTGATAACTTTCTCTTTAATTCCATAAACAGACATAATTTCTTGTTCAGTTACAAAGTTCCGCTGTTCAAGTCCCGTTAATTGCTGTGGCGATAATTCCGACTAACTTGTCAATTGAAATTTTTTCGTTTTCACTAACCTCTCTGTCACATTCTTCATGTCTTTATCTATTTTTTTGCAACAATTCCACTTTTTGTTTGTTGGACATTGAAACATACTTTCATTTTGTAGATCCTTTGAAGTTCCAGCATCGGAAATTCTATTTGACATAATCGAAAGTTCAAGTTTACTTTTATAAAATTGCTCTTACAGTCTGCAAAAAATAAGCGGGATCCAATTCGAAGATTAAGGAACAACGCAATCATTAACATTAACTGAAATAGATAATTAGATAATTTTAGCTTACACCGTCCGTTATACATTAAATGCGCAGGCGAAAACGTATTCTGCACTTGCGCACACACATATGCGCAGTAGTCAAGGTCTTACGTGCACGCATAAAACGCCTGTGCGCATGTGCTAATGCGGCGCATGCACAGAAAGTTTTTAGCTTTGAGGTCCGGATTATAGATCATTCCGGATTATGGGTGTCTGAATTAACGACTTTTGACTGTATTAATAAATATATATCAGAAATTCTATTTGACATAATCGAAAGTTCAAGCTTACTTTTATAAAATTGCTCTAACAGTCTGCAAAAAATAATAAGCGGGATCCAATTCGAAGATTAAGGAACAACGCAATCTGCAACATTAATTGAAATAGATAATTAGATAATTTTAGCTTAGCTTATACCGTCCGTTGTACATTAAACACGCACTCGTAAACGTATTTTGTGCACGCGCACAAGCATATTCGCAGCCGTAAAGGTCTTACGCGCATTCGTCAACGCAACGCATGCGCAGAAAGTTTGTAGCTTTGAGTTCCGGATTATGGTGTCCGAATTAACGACTTTTGACTGTATGTACAATAAGAGAGCAGAGAGAAGGTAATGTTCAGATTGAAAAATGACTGGTCTAAGAGTGAGCTGTAAAAAGCTGGATATGTTTTTGTCACTGAGTAATCTGTAATTGAAAAGGTTAAAGGTACTTATATGGCCACAGTTCAGTGCTTTTGTATAGAAGTTTGTGTTAACCTTATTTAAAAAATCTTCTATGGTATCAGTTCATAAGTCTTCGTGAAGATGTTGATTAAGCATAAAACCGTGCACATTTGTAATTATTCGAAAATATCTGTTTTGTTATCTACCTCCTGTAATTACATATAAAAATCTGTTTTGTTATCCATAAATATGTCTGTTCTGTCTGTTGAATTAACTGCAGTGAAAAATCTTCCCTTTTATACCAGCATTAGGTGATTTATAGCAGCTCTCACTTGCATCTTAACATCACACGAGAATAAGTTGTGGGGGACTGTAATTAGCTAAAAGCTGCTTTTCCTTGTGTTCAGCGAAAAAATCAAACAAGACTTATTTTTGTCATGACACAAGCATACAGCTTGCATCAGGCTTACAAAAACAAACAAATAAATAAAATGAAATAAAGGTGATAATGATTACGTGATGATTATTTTATTTGGTAACAAACTGAATAAAAAAAGGGCTGGAATTCGCAGAAGACAAACAGGCTGTAGAGCATTAATATTATGTTATTGGAAGCCGACAATGAGTAGAAAACAGAGTCAAATGAGTTGACACATGCCGCTATCTTGTGGTTAAAATCAACTAAAGACTTGATTCACTGTAACACTAAAAGATATTACTTTAATGAATGTTTATAATGAAAAATCTCACAAATTGAAGTTCATTTCTGCTCTGAACCCTCTACGTGTTAATCTCAAATCCTCTTGTTGACTGTAATAAGTGTGAATTATAGAATTACAGCATTAATACCTTCCTCTAATTATTGCTGCTGTTTTCTTGCTCATATTACATGGAACAATGGTTGTCAGAGCCTACTCTGAAGAGAAGTTGGACCTTTATTTTCCACCCCGTATTTTGAGGGAGAGCACCCCTAGGCGAGATCCAGGGGTCTATCACCTCTCATCCCATCAACCAATCCACATGGGAGGACTTTTGGCTCGCCACATATTTAGAATGCCACCATGCCGGACTGACACTATAACATTTACAAACATCCATGTCTTCTACGGGATTTGAACCCGGGCCCTTCGGTACCGTAGTAGGCTTCCTTAAACACTATACTGTCTGGGCGATACCGTAGTAGGCTCCCTTAAACACTATACCATCTGGATTACTCCTCTAATTATTGTTCATATTAATTGTGATTAAAAGATCTAGGAGAAGTGGAGAGGTATGGCTTGAAATAAACTTGGAAGATTTTGTTGCTAGTGTAAATTTTAGAAAGGTTCTGTTGCCTATAAAACTGAAAGAGTTTAAAATACTGTAAATAAAAGAATTAATTAATGATGTGAACTTCTCAAAACAACCATACCACAAAATGGTGATTCTACAATTACCTATCAATTAACTTCAAGTACAATAAGAAAGATGATAAATAGTTATGTATTAGAAAGAGGAGGAGACATGTATGCACACACACACATTGTGTATAATATGTAAAAAAATAATAATAATAATAATAATAATAATTAAACATGACTATAATGATGACTTAGCATATGATGGCATGGAAATGGTCAACATTATTAACAGACTGTCCATGTTATTTTGAAAATGACTGAAGTTATATTTCAGTGTGCCATACCATTTGTAGACCAAAATGATATGTTTATCATTTGCCTATCAGCATACGATTTCATAATTTTGAAATTACTTTTCATTTATCATTACAGCTTTGATTGCTTGATTGTTGTTATTTCATCATGAAATGTCTGCTGGTTGTGGTTATTTCATCATGATTTTAGCAATGCAACAGAAATTCTGATGTGAATATTTTCTAACGAGATTTCAATAAAGGCATCAGCAGAACTTTAGCTAATACTAGTATATAAACTAATTACCTGAAATTTTTCTCCATACTAATAGCATAGAAATGAGAGAATAATTTAGAAAATTAATTTTTAATACAATATACAAAGCTTATACATTATGATCAGAAGCAGGGAAAAAGTCACTCTGATCAAGATTGTAACTGACTAACAGCAGCTAGGATACATATTAATCAAAAATGTTGTTTCAGTAGAATGAAAATAATAACAGCAACTTTTAGTTTCATTCATAAAAATGATTACTCAGAATGTACCAGTATCACTTCAGTTAAATTATTTTGATAAGTTAGTCAAATTTATACAAGTTCATAGTTTGAACACAGATAAGGCATTTCCCATTTTTAATCCAATAAACTTTAAAGAACCAATATTATGTTTTTCCTCTTTCGCTAGCAGTTTCTTCAGAGTTCTGCATTTTTTATTCATATAAGAATCAGAAAAACAGAACACTAAATGCTAACAAGAAGATACATTCATACATACCTGTAACAGATGAGTTTTAAAGATTACATGTTTAGCAATATCCTTAGCTAAGTTTATCAGTATTGGTGAAAAGCTGTTATTCTGAAAAACACAAAAGGAAATAAAAAAAGGAATGCAAAAATGTACAGTATTGTAAGTTATTAATTCAAAAAGAGATACATGTAAATAGAAAATTTCATATCCTTTATATTCAATCTGAAAATCAATGCTACTTTCTAATTATGAAATTCATGTATCTAAGACCATCCAAAATCAAAACTACCAAATTTATTGCATTTTCATTTTGGCTTAAATACATATCAACATTACACAGGCAAGAAAATGCAAATGAAACAGCCCTACCCGAAAGACCTTACCAGTTGCCAAGCTATAAAACCATCAAATACTGGTAGTTACACCTGATTGCAAAATCAATTGTAATACCAATATATCATCGTACAAAATGATATGAAAAAGTTCATTTTGAAATTTGGTTCGTTTCTTTCAGGTTAAATTTGCTACCACCTTAATATTGTTGTACAGGTATAGTTCAAGATACAGTCAAAAGTCTTTAATCCGGACTCTTCGGGACTTCGGCGATTCCGGATTATCGATTTTTCCGGATTATAGATCATCAGTTTAAATCTGGTAAGATGGCATGTAGAAATTATAAAATTAAAAATATGAAACCGTAATTTCTAAAATAATGAGCAATTATGATCTAAAGGGTATCAAAATTTACAAAAAAAGAAGCTTAATATTTATTTGTTTACTTTACTAAACATTTCTTTCAATGCGTGCATGCGTAAAGCATACATTACGCATAGCCGAAATTAGAAAACTGCAACCAGAAAACTATTTGATTTGTTTTCGTGATATTTAGAATGACGAGGAATTTGATTTAAATCATATCGAAGATGGAGTACATCGAGATGAAATACTACATTTAATAAGGAATTATAAGCCGAATAAAATAAAAACATCTGCCCTGAAGATAACGATAGTGCTGACAGATCAACTTCCAGTTCCTTGCGCGCCGCGACGTCCTCCCTGTTGGCTTTAGTTTTCCACATGCAAATTTTGATCGGAGGTCAATCGGCAGTAAGCTAACGTGGTTGCCGCTGATTGGCCGATGACGTCAAGATCGGCGGGTTGGCCGAGTATATATGTACGCCGGTATCGGCGAATGTCTTGGTTGTTCTTGTTCTCTTGTGTGATTATCAGTTAGCATTATGCTAGTTTGCTTTCACTAAAGAATTTTAAATGTAAAGGCTGCAGTATTAGCTCTTTTATTTTATTTACGGAATAAAGCAAGAATTTTATTTAGTTTAGTCTTAGCTTTATTTAAGGGAAGCAAAACATGCTTTGCTTTCATCACCACTGCCAACAGGGTTATGGGCCCAGCGCCAAGAGCTAATCAGTCATCCAGTTCAACTCAGCATTAAAGGAATGTAGGTGAAGAGGGCTGTTATCCACGTAAAGAAGCTGACCTATCTTAGAAGTTTGTTCAAGTCGTTGTGCTCACACTTAATTGAAGATGTCATTACTACCTGAAGGTTTTGAGTTGTTAAACCATGACAACTGGGATTGATGGAAAGTCGACATGAAAATGATGTTGGATAGAAATTGTTGGAGCTTCATAGAGGACAAAGAAGAAGTAGATAAAAGTGCAACAAGGCGTGAAAAGCAGGAGTTCACACTGAGGGAGAACAGAGCCTTCACTACATTATATTACGGAATTAAAGCTGAGTTCAGGCCGCTGATACAAGAATGTTCAAGTGGTAAAGAAGCGTGGGAAGTTCTACAGAAGCAATTTGAACCCAAAACAAGAGCAAGGATAATTCAGTTACTGGATGAATTTTTTAGTATTAGATATATGCCAAATGAAGAAATAGGATTATTCATCGCAAGAATAAGAATGACTGCAAAGAAGTTGGCTGAAGCTGGTCACAACTTGGCAGATCTTTTTAAAGGATTCCAGGCAATAAGGAGATTACCCCAGGAATACTCCGGCATTGTACAGTTGATCTATAGGTGGAAGGACGAAGATTTTACGCTGGAAAGAATTGCTGAAGAAGCTGGTAAGGGAAGAAAGCCGACTTCGCCAGGTAATTGCCGATTTAGAAGACAGCAAGGTAAGCGTGTTTAATACTATTAGTTTAAATGCAGGGAAAGATAAAGTTGAAAATAAAACTAAATCTAAGAAAAAAATGGGGAATATGAGAATAGGACCTTGTTTCAGATGTCATAAATTTGGGCACTTAATTGCTCAATGTAAAGAAAATGTAAGTAAAAATCAGAAGTTTAAAATAGATGATAAAAATGGACAGTTTAAAGATAAAGAATTAATGTTAGTAGAAAATTATGTAACAACTACAGATAAAGGAGGTAGTGCAGATAAATTTAATTGGGTCGTAGATACTGCAGCTACAACTCATTTCTGTAATAATAGAAATTTAATGACAAATTTCGAAGAAATAAACGATATACGTATGTCTTTAGCTGTAGGAAATTGTGAAAGTAAAGTACTAGGAAAGGGTACTGTCAAATTTGCAGTAAAAGTAGGCAATCGAATAAATTGGATTGAGTTAGATAATGTGTTATATAATCCAAATCTAAGAAGAAATTTATTATCGGGAGCAAGGTTAGAAAAGGCTGGTGCTCATTTTGTGATTTCAAAAGGGAAGATGTGGATATACTTTAATAATTGGGATAGATTATGCTACGCTAAACAATATGACAGACTTTATCACGTAAAACCATTTAGATATGCAACAGGTAAAAGGGAAGCTGGCTACGGTATAGAAATTGGAAATTTAAATAAAGTAGACGATGCAAAGCTATGGCATCGGAGATTTAGCCACGTAAATTTTGATTATATTAAGAAAACTAGTAAGAATCAAAGCGTGAAAAGGTTACCAGAAATTGAAAAACCAATAGAGAGGTGTAAATTGTGTATTATTGCTAAATCTAGTAGAATAACTTTTAAATCTGTTCCGAAGAGATTGGATAAACCATTGCAGTTGGTTTATTTAGACGTTTGTGGCCCACTACCAGTTCCATCTAAGGGTGGGAGTAAATATTTTCTTGCTATTGTAGATGACTATAGTAGATTAGTAACAGTGTATTGTATGAAAAATAAAAACGAATCGTTCTACAACTTTAAGAATTATCCTAGACAAATGGAAAAACTGACGAATAGAAAATTAATAAGTATACGCACCAATAATGGTGGGGAATTCTGTAACAGGCAATTCGAAGGGTACTTAGCCGAAAATGAAATTAGTGTTGAACGCACGAACGCGTACACCCCAGAAGAGAACGGTGTGTGTGGACGTTTTAACCGAACGGCATTAGACGCAGTTAAAGCTATGCTTAATGACGGTAAAATGGGAAAAGAATGGTGGGCAGAAGCTCTTGGCTGTTTCGTACATACGTGGAACAGAGTATGTCATAAAAGCAACCGAACCCCTTATGAAATGTTCCTAATATAGAAAACCCAGTGTTGTTTATTTTAAAGTATTTGGTTGTAAAGCCTATGTTGGCGTGCCAAAACAGATTAGGAATAAATTAGAAATGAGGTGCAAAGAAGGAATCATGGTAGGATATGCGAAGGAAACTAGGGTGGGGTTATAGGATATGGCTGCCAGAAGAACGCAAATTAATAGAAACCTGTAATGTGAAGTTCGATGAAAAACTGTATGCAGAAAATGGCATCCTGGAACAGAAATCAAAACCTAAATTTAAAAGACTAGAAGCTATTAGCAGAATCAGATGAAGAACAGGAAATTTCTTGAGAAGAAATAAAGTTGTCAGATGACAAATCTACTCCGAAAGAAGTATCAGACTTAAACTGGCAAAGAAAAGCAGTTAAAAGGCCAGATGGAACACGTACAAACATATATTATTATGTAGAGGGAACAGACACTCGTTTATATTGAAAAGTATTGTGATATTGAAAAGTATTGTGAGGCAAGAAATATTAAATATGAAAAAGATAAGTTCGATTTTAGTGGAAAAAACGAATACTCGGGGAAAGTTAATTTCGTAGAACAGGAGACTAGCTCTGTGTCTGAAGAGGCAAATTCTGTAGAAATAGTTATCCCACAAAATTTTAAAGAAGCACGAAAATCAGTAAATGCCGAAGAATGGGATAAGGCAATGAAAGAAGAAATCGACACAATAAAGAAAAGAAAGGTTTGGGAATTAGTTGAAAAGCCAGAAAATAAAACTATAATAGGAAACAAATGGGTCTATATGCTAAAAAGAAATGAAAAGAATCAAGTGGTTAGATACAAAGCACGCTTAGTAGCACAGGGATTCAGGCAGAAAAGAGGTGAAGATTTTGATGACGTTTACAGTCCTGTAGTAAATTTTTCAATCATAAGAATATTTTTCACTATACTGGTATGTTTATATGGATGGACTAATTGTCAGTTAGATGTAAAGAACGCATATATATATGCAAACCTAAATGAGAAAATATATACGACCCAACCAGAGGGATTTATCGAAGAGAAAAATAAAGTGTTTATTACACAAGGCCATTTACGGTCTACATCAAAGCGGCCGTGAATGGTTTTGTGAATTTAAAAGTACTTTAGAAAATCTACATTTTAAGAAAATACAATGGTGTAATTGTGTTTATAAGGGTTCAAATGTAATTCTCTTGTTATATGTAGATGATATTGTGATTTTTAGTAAAGATCAATATAGTATAGATAAAGTAATTTCACAGCTAAGTTTTTTTATCTTAAAGTATTAGGCAAAACTAAAATGTTACTTGGAATTGAATTCTTAGAGAATGAGAATGGGGTTTTTATACATCAGCAAAAATATATCGAAGAAATTTTTGAAAAATTTAAACATTTCCAGATACCAATAACTTCACTTCCCATAGCTAAGGGCACTATTCTTACAAAATTAGATTGTCCATCTACAAGTGCAGAAGTTTCGGAAATGCATACATTACCCTTTAGAAATCTGTTAGGATGTTTAGTTTTTGTAGCTAACAGGACAAGGCCTGATATTACATATGCAGTGAATATCTTATCACAATTTCAGGAGAATCCTGGAATTAGGCATTGGGAAGCATTGTTGAA